ACACTTACATATCTATCAGTGAATCATCCATTTTGATATTATGATTATATCAATTGAGTCGGATTTGGCGTTAACACACCAGTATAATAATGAATCAGATTTTCTGTATTAGCCGGGGGTGTGTGATAGCGACTTTTCTTGCTAAGTAATAAGAAATACACTGAATAATAGTCTGTGGCTAAATTTCACTTTAAAGTGTATCAGTCAAAAGTAATCAGTAAACCCCTTTAATTACCTTGTGACATTTAATGCAATAGATTCTTTTGCTTTCATTATAATAAAATTAGCATTTCAAAAGCATTTCAATGCAATTGTTTCGAATTGAAAGAAAAAAACATTGTGTTTTTTAATCGGCGCCTACTAATTGGCTCACAAATAATCCGTCTGGTATGCTCTGAATTGTATCGCATTCTCGGACCGTAGCATACGAGAATATAGAGAGATTATAGAGAGATTTCGGCTAATTCTCTGCGTTTCATACTGCGAACCAGAACGTTTTTTTTTGGTGCTACATACGATAAAACCATTTATTCTTCCTATTGGTCCCTTGTAGAATTATAGAAAACTGTCAGTTAAACTAAAGGGGGTCTGCGAAATGATCCATCGACGGCAGACTGCAGGTTATGTAGTTTTTATAAGACGTGTAAATTTGTACCAGTTTGTATGAATGTATGGAATGAAGAGTAATAAGTCGTTTACTATGTTCGAAAACAGGCTCTGAAATTTTTGAATAAACATTTGTGGAAAGCATTCAGGCATTTTACTTCTATTTGGCTGTAATATGTTGACTGCGGACCTACTGTTCTTGGCCCAAGGCAAACGCGGTTTAAAAACTATAAATGAACATTCGCTTTATTTGGCTAGACACAGGTTAATGGGAATATGGTAGCGTTATATTCCATAATTAGGTTCGATTTCTGACTACTGCGGTCTGTTATTTCGGAGCTGCTCAATATTGAAGCGACGTTGAGCCATTCATAGACAATTCATCCGCATGCGTTTGATATTAGAAATGCTAATTATCCATTTTATCTGTGGCAAATCCAGTATTTTAGAAGAGTTGTTATTGTCTAGGTCAACGTCAAGCCTTGGAGATTGACTTCTGCTTCTGTAATGTGCGATAGAATTTTCTTAATCAAGATCCACAGTTCACTATTTATATAATAGTTATAGTTATTATTATTAATATATTTATCGTTTGGAAGTTAAGAGGCGTCTGTAAAGTGTAAACAAACCTTTTTATATTTGTTATACTATATCCAATTCAGACATTTGTGTAGATGTACGTTGTTAACATTTTGCGGCCAAAACAAAGCTACTTAGTCTGGTGCTGCGTCGCTACAGCTTGCCTTGGTATATCGCCTAGAATTATAGTCCATATATTGGCTATTAAGGACGTATCTATGCTCTAGAGTAGCTCTTTTATAGTTTGTTTCAGATATTATGATAGCCTTCTGCCTTTTATATATATCACAGGGAGTGGCACATCGGCTGGAGCAGCGAGAGGCACGGTATGTTTAGCCGTAGCAATCATAATGCTTCGGGTATTCATTTCGTCAGCCAGCGCAGACTTTCGGGTTTTCAGCCAGTGGAGCGGATCGTGAGTAGTTCCAAAACAGCAGCAGGTGTTAGACCAGATTTATTGTACATCATGGTTCTAACCTAACTATCTCGAGTAAGTGGCAGGTCCGAACTGAATCAACAACAGGTTGGTTTGACGACCTAAGAGATTCACGGCTAACTCAACCATTGAGTCTGATGCTGCTATATTATTTACAACAATGGAACCTGTCCTGGAGTGAGTCATGGAGACATTTCCAGCATCGAAAAAATTTTGAATAAGGTCGAATAACGGTAGTAATGTTCAGTAAAATTTTACGCCGCGTAGCGCCAACCTTCCTAATTATCCTTGAAATTCTGTTGCATAAGTTAACAACTTGTGCAACAGAATACTTAAGAAGAACTTAAATAGAGCAACATTAACACTGTTCACCTTTCATTTGCCTTTATTTAAATAGGCATTGCATTTAAAAAACAGTTAAAACCTGAGCTTGTAAAATGTTTCATTTCCTTTGAACCCTGTAACATTTAAATACATGATATCGGGTAGTACATAACCGGAACAGTATGTTTGCCAGGTTCGAATAAGAATTTTTATGGTGCTATTATATTTTTTACCTAACACTCAAAGAACGTTATCGACTCAGTACATACTTACACTTCAGTACATAGACTTTTTTTTTCTATACTTATTAGAGAAATTTCTATATGCCTCTAGCCAGTTTGTTCGTTAGCTTTTAAATTAATTAGGCTAATGAGAAGGGCTTGTTTATACTACGAGCTCCAGAATGAATTATTTGTTAGAAACCGACAAGCAGTAGCTTTGTTCTTACCAACTATCCATCTGGTGACCACCCGTCTGGACTACACGTGTCAACTCTACAGAAATCACGACACCATATGTTCCGAACAACATACGCTTAGTTGCCTTATCCAGCCCTCAAATATCAGATCAATGGTTTCAAAACTTCAGTTTACATTCTTTTCTGTTCAGCTGAGTGGTAAAACCATCACAGGCCTATAGAGACCATAGATCTGTGCTGTGAACACCGAGTTAGTACTTCAACTTGTTCCTATCCTCGTTGGATATGTTGCTGCGTCACGGATAACTTCTCCAATCCCCTTTTGTTTAAGGTGAAAGTCCAGCGTTAACACTAGACTCCGAACTGGATAGCCGCTTGTTGCTTCACTGATCTAGATATTGAATAGATTATTGCTCCAACTGTGTCATCACCGGTGGCGCGACATGGTAGCTAGCCATATAGTTTTATGCTATAACTTGCAACTTTTGGCAGCTCGCGTCATAATGTTGGTAGACGCCTGTAACCGTAGCCAAGAACGATGATCACGTAAATTGAGAAAGTCGCTCTTCGTAAATTACATAGTCAACGAAATCTGACCGTTAAAACACGCGAGAATGCTGAATAGCATTGGAAGGAAGGTGCAGTGTATCTAAAAAAAAAAACAGTTAATACGTACCTAGTTATGTACAATACAAGTAGAAATAGGGTACTGAGATTGAAACGTATAGGAAGTCAATAACCGTAGTAAATAAGAGGTCTGTTCTTTATTCCAATGCTCTCATTCGGCTTCGCGTTTTCTTTCATATTCACTTGTTTGGCACATTCTTGACGACAAATAAAAACTGCAGGTTTTACGAAAGGGCCATTGGGTAAGATCGCTAAATTACCTCTCTTATAGATGATGAACGAATATTGCTCTTTCCAGTGACTCAAGCAAAATATGAAATACACTGAACTCTAAATTCGTCAGATTCAATTCTCGTGAACAAATTTGTCTTGGATCGGTAAGTTTGATCGAAAGCCTTCGTTAGAACTTTACTGATTGAATTAGGTTTAAGTCATCAGTTTAATTCATTTTTATCGGCTAAAGATATATAAGGCTTAGTTTTTCTTAGAACTGTTGTAAAAACCTAAATATTTTAATTACGTAACTAGCCGTGGAGGGTTTCAGTGCACGCTTAAATAGTTAGATCAATTTTGTTGGCGACAAATTAGATTATCTAAGCTACTGCCATTATGAGTACCGTATAGATCACTGGAGTTTGTACTGTAGCTGTTGTTGGCGTTATTATTGTCACCGTCGCTTCCTTTATGTGGGTTAATTGGATCACATGACGATGGCAAGGCCTGATAGGCCTCATTGCCACACACAAGCCTGTGTATGCGGTTTCTGCTGTGTTTAGTGCTACTGTGCTGTATTATTAATTTCCTAAAATATTGATCTTGGTTTCCGTAGACGTCGATTGGTCCTCAATCGATTGTTTCAATGTACTGGTTTATTGCCCCCGGCTATTATTATGACCAGTAAATACTACTACCAGTAAAATTGACTCTAGAGTGAGGATTGTACGGGGACATTTTTTAGGGAAGGTGTGTGATGTTTTTAGTAAACTGGTCTACAGCTGGCATAGGACTATTAAAAAAAAACGCAATGATAGACACTAAGCATATTTACTACTACAGGTGAACATTCTAATTTTGTACATTTGGAAAGAATTAATACAGTAAGAAAATAATTTAAGAATTTCAATATTCATTCTGTTTAAAACGCGATGTGCATGCTAACCACGTATATTTGCCAGATTCAGGATAGTGAATGCGCAAAAGTCTGTTGTTGCATGGTTCAAAATATAATCTAGATAAAAAAATAAGGTACATGTGATGTCATTAATTGAGAGATATCATGGATCGCTGTTTCAAATCCTATCAACAACATATACTACACAAAATAAGGAAAGTCAATTAATAATTAATACCGTCGGTAAATCCTAGTTAACGCAGCACGACATTCTCGTAACGATCGGCGCAGTTGTTGGCCTCTTGGTGTTGCTAGGGGAACTTGCCTGTTGTGACGTACAGTACTGGCTTTGACTGGTTGAATGAATTCCTTCCCTGCAGTTAGCGTTCATCATGAACTCCACGTATCTAGTACGCTAATAATGTGTATCATTCTCACTCACCTCGGCATCATTGCCAGAAGAGCCTTGTTTCGTCGTTCTACAAAAACTGATTTCCTTTTAGCTTGTACTGTCTTCTTATATGTGCCCGTTGCGGATCATTAAGTACGACTGATCTGAATGCTTGCGTGATTTTAAAGGGATTTTTGCAGATTAAGAAAAACGCCTCCTGAATAGCTATCGCCGAACATAACTCAGGCTTTTGGGCCGCATGACCAGTCATCCTATGCGAACGCACCGAAGTTGGCATGATATTTTCATCTACCGTAGCATATACAGTCTAGAACAGACTCCAGTTCCCGATTATGAGCTATACTTCCGCAGTTTATTGACTCAAGTGTGAAAATACGTCACAGACATTAAAGTCGAAAACAGTAAACAGGTGCCGTAGTTCTAACAGAAAGAGGTATATACTACCTATATTGCAACACGTCCTAATTCACCGGTATTTTTTCTTCAGATGGTGAAGGAATATGCGTTCGAACGCCTCCAGTACACTGCAATGAAAAGGAACGATATCCTTCCAAAGGCGCTTCAAGAAGTAGTGTCCCAGGAGCTTCACGCTTTTCCTCTAAACAGCTGTTTTACCCGCATGCACAATAGGTTGGTCATCAGTATTTTTTAAGAACGTACATATTTTAATCAATCTGAGGAAAATCAATTTGTTGTAAAGCGGTCACACAAGGACCGAATAATTTTTATTAGAACCCACAGCCTGACTGCAAGTACCCAAAATATTGTATAGATTTTAACCACGCTAAAACCTACTCACGTCCTGTGCGTCTGCAATTTTCTTCAGATGTGTACTTACCTCACGTGCACGCAGCGTGGACGTCCGTTATCGAATGGCACGAATGGCCTGGAGGCACCTAGCGGATTATAACAAGCTTAGCGGAGTTCAGCGAGCGATGTGGTAGGGCGTTGAAACCACAAAAATGTTTTACCAGTTGCGTATAAGTTTTGCAAAAAATAAATACTGACTTTTATAGATATCAATATTACCTTATGAGTGTATATTTGCCTTTTGGAACGGTATTCTTCATATCCTACGATTTTAGGTTACGTAATTAACTATTTTTACCATCTGCACACAGCAGAACATTTCTTTTTTGCCAATGAAAATTACTTTTACTTAGAACTTATTGGGAGCTCAGCAGCACAACTACCAAAGCTTAATAAGAAATCTATTAAAAATAGGCGATTAAGAAAGGCTGAAAGCAAAAATGTAGAATTTCGATATTTATATGGGTGGATGAGTGACACGCAGTGATGCTTTGAATATCTTCCGCACTATCATTGCCTGTTGAGTTTACTTGCTCGAGAAACGCTGGCCTGTTTCGCACGACGTTTATTAAGTTGTTTCCGTAATCGTCATTACAGGCCTCTCTAACACATCATCCTTGAGTTTACTGGTTAAGTACCGAGGTACATGAATGCCCGAACATTAGTCTAAAACATGAGTCATACATGTAGTAATATAAGGTTTTTGATTTGCTCATTAAGTAAATAAGATAATTAAAAGTGACCTAGCTTTGTAAGTTTATTTAAATTCCTTTTCCAAGAAAGAAGCATTGGGGTCTACCTATATTGTGAAGAATAATAAACAAAAGGGTGAACTTCTTTGTCTTTTTGTTGAGCCTGTCTATAGCGAACGACAGGATCTTAAAATTTTTGTAGAATTTTTGTAGAATTCTCCGTTGATTTGTGTGAATTATCATAGTGTTACGACCACTGACGTCTTATTACTATAACTTAGATCGCCTGGCGGCTGGAGCTTACATATATAGTGTACATCCATTCAGATATTTAAATTATCTTAGATTATATTATAATTTTATCAAGATGGTGAACGACTCCTTGAATATACCCTGTTTGCGTTTATTTGTGTATTATCTTATTTTAACCCATTTTTTGTACCTTGCCAGTTGGTCAAATACGATTGAATTACGATTCTATGTAAACTGTCTATAGTTTACATAGGATTAAGTAAAACAATATGTATTCCACTAGATCTAGTCCACGAGTGAATTTAGTCAGAGAAATATGCGAATTGCCCGTTCAACTCGTAAACTCAATTATTCTTCAAAGAAGACATGCATAGTCACACCAATTTTCCGTTTTAGTTTCTTATTTGTACAAAACAGTTTGCTGCCAGTTAACTTATTAGTAATACAGTTGGGTGCCCCCCAACAATCCTACAAGAAAAACATAAACGTTAATCTATGATTCATCAGTGCCCTTTATTTTAAGATATTTACACTCTTGTTATTATTATTATCTTTTTTTTTTATAAATTCGGTCCGGTGCATTTTCAGTTAACAGCGACGACGCGTTTCAGGACTTACTAAAATGAGCGGTCAAACAGAACTATTGCCATTTTGTAGCTTATTTATTTGATAACATTGACCGATCTGTCAATTGGCACATCATTGAGCGAGCGTTAAATACTATAGACTGTTCTTCTACAACATCACAAATTCGAATGCATGGCTGCACAGCTTCCTCTCTTCCGATATTCTATCACTATGACTTAACGCTTACATGCAATATTGCTTACGGAAGGATGAACGTGTGTCTACTGTTTCAGGAGCTAGCTCGCTCTCAATCGACCCCTTTTTGCCACTAGTACAAATATATTAAATTTATATAACCTGGCTGTCATCTAGCGAAAGAATATCCTATTATGATTTCTAGGGGTATTTCTATTTAGATCTGTTAATTTTTGTTGTTTCTCAGGCTTCGTTCACTCTTCGTATCGTTTCAACAATAACTCCACGTTGAGCCTTATGCGCCAGGATACACTTCCGCTGGCTGATGATTTATTTTTAAATATACTTCACTTTCATTCAGAATTTCAGTAACTAAGAATTTTAATAAACAAAAACTTGGAATTAGAGCTGAAATTAAATGAGAAGCTTGAATAGAATGTCTTGTTACTACACTAGTCGTTTCGGAGACACTATGGACTTCAAAACATCAGTATATATTGAGCACCTTAAGGATAATTTATTATTAATATGAACGGCTGTTAATAACAATGAAGGATGTAAGGGGTATCTTTTGGTCGTTCTTACTTAATTACGCAAATCGTATCAAATATAGGTCTTCGAGGGACGTGTAGTCCTCGTCCTGGTATTTATATAACATTTGGTCGTAAAAACAAATTTAGCGCATATAGTAACTGTACAGTTACTAGTATCATCTACAGGTTACCATAATCAAATTGCTGATGCATTTCAGATTTCAAGAGTCGCTGAATTAGCTCATTCCAGAGTAGACCAGCCTGTTGTTCTATGGCTAGTTTTTAGATATTGATGGGCTTAGTAATTGCCTTATGATCGTGGAAATCAAACGGTGTAATACCTCGAATTGTCTTTTCTTGAGGGCTTGCGTATACATCGGCATAGAGTTCCTCGAGGCCAATTTCAGGAGAGCTTTTCGCTAAATCGACAGCTTCATCAATCTGAATCAGGTCAATCAGTATATTAAAGTTTGTTGTTCAGTTATGAAAACGATGTCATTTCTGTATTACTTATTCTCCTAATTTCTAGTCTGATACTCGAAATCATCTATATATCAATTATATATTACATATTTAACTATAAAATACCCGAACTAATAAAAGAATGAAATGATAACTACTTCTACTGCTTATTTTATGATTCCACATTGACGCTACAACAGGTGCCAATTGAACCTGTAGTAAGATTCTGATTCTGTTATGGCTAAAGTAACTTCACATAAATCAATAATAATGTTCCGATAACCTTAAATAATCATAATGAAATCATAGGAAAGATACCTACCTCTTTACGAATTTCATGATCAATTTCCTTAAGCTGTTCGGACGTGGCCAATCCACTGGAAATAATCCTATCCTTGAATGAAGTGATCGGATCTCTGCTCTGGCGCACCTCCTGGATTTCTTCACGGGTTCGATAACTGGTACCTGGATCAGACATTGAGTGACCATGATAACGGTATGTTGCGACCTCCATAACAAATGGACCATTACCTTTACGGCATTCGGTTACCACGTACCGCGTCGCTTCCCTGACGGCAAGCACATCCATTCCGTCCACCTGTAAAGAAAGTCATAAGTAGCAAACGTTTAATCAATGGTCGAAGAGTGGAAATCAAAGATTAGTTTAAAAGTCTTTGAAGTCTGAAACCTTTCAACAATAACATCCTAGTAAAAGGTGACACCGCCTGTAGCTTAAATCACAAAGACATAATTGACTAAGCAATTAAGACTAACCCAAATACCCGGAATGTAATCTCCTCGGGTATAGTAATCTGTTGAAGCTGCCGCTCGATCCGCAGAGGTGCCCATTCCGTAACCATTGTTCTCACAGACGAAGATCACTGGTAGCTTCCATAACATAGACATGTTGTATGCCTCAAATACCTGTAATATTAAACAACACAATGGATGTTAATTATATTTAGATGAGGCCTCCTAATAATAATTATGATAGCTAATAATTGTTACTACCGTATGACATTTCGGCTATATAAATCCTAAGAAAGAAAAAAACATTCATCATAATGACACTATTATTAGAGAGTGTCTAAGGACCTTTTATGCATGTCAAAAAATAAAAATGTTCAATACATCGGGCAAGTACGTACTTGTCCTTGATTCGCAGCTCCATCACCGTACAGAGCGAGGCAAACATTATCTTTGCCCTGATATTTGTACGCTAAAGCCACACCAGCGCCCAGTGGGACCTGAGCACCGACAATTCCATTCCCTCCGTAAAAATTCGGCGAATACATGTGCATGCTACCGCCTTTACCACGAGCGCACCTAAATAATAAAATGTATGAGATCTAACAATATAACCCAGTTCACGATTGACGAAATAAAACCTTGTAATCATTTTCATGATTAGTGTCATCTCGAATGACACGTATTACCCGATGTTTCTTCCAGTCAACTCTCCCAGTACTCCTTTAAGCGGTACGCCCCGCACGAATGCCCACCCGTGAGCACGATACGCCGTGATTACTCCGTCATCACGTCGGAGAGAAGCTTCCATCCCGACAGCACATGCTTCCTGGAAGCCATAGAGTTTTTCTTCTGTTGAAATAAACACACATGTGTATGGTTTATCAAGTGAAAATATTCAGTCTATTCATGCTATAGTTAAAATGCTTCCGTAGTACTGCGGCTTACCTGGCCAGAGTAGAGATGGCAAAAACCTCGAATAAGTTTGCTTTTATACATCGAGTTGGCAGCTGCTTCCATTCGACGAATGGTCATCATTTGACGATAAAACTTAACAGCGTCCTCTGACGTTACCGTAACAGTCGTTGCGGGCCCATCATCTTCAATTTTATGCAGCTTGAATGGCTAAAATGTCAAACACGAAATAAAAAAGTAGCAATAAATAGACCCTTAGTTGGCGCCTTCTAAAACGATTATTAGGCTCGTATAAATTATGCTTTCGACGATGATCGATTTCTTTATAAAATCAGAGCAGTATTGCGTAAAACCAGCACGATACTGCGTATCTCAGATCTGGTTATATAAGGCAATTTTCAATGTTTCAAATATACACACCTACTTTTTAGCAAAACAGTACTGCTATGAGCCTATTGGCGATTATATACATAGAGTTTTTGCACGAAATACCTACGAAAAGAACCGAGTACAATACCTTAACTTGGAAGGAGGCTTCCGACGCATATCTCTGCTGGACGATTATTGCAGATGCGTTTCTCTTTAAAGTCGCAAGCAGACGGTGCTGAAGGGTCGAATGCATACTGAAACATTAAATGTCAGCGATTAATGCTATGAATAGATGGACAGATGTAATTATAGACACTCGAATTTGTTAGTATTCCTTTTCAAAAATCTTTATGCTCGTTAAAGCACTCTCATACAAATTTGTTTCCTCGGAGTAATTCCAACGGGCCGCCTCCTATTGCCGCCACAGTTATAACTGACTGTTCACTTTTTTCAAGCAGAAAGTCGATAGTCTCTTATGTTTGGCGCAACGCTAAATATAGCTGTTTGTTTTCTTTGTCACACATGATTTGCTGTAATAACAGGTCTGACGGACTTTCTTGGTTAAGGAGTACTGCTTTTATGTCACTATCTAGCACATGTTTCCTTCTCGTGTACCTATGCCAGCTCATTTTATATGAAACGATGAAAAAGTAAAATATAAAATATCAGTAATTTTATCTATCGCACTTTCATTTCATTATTATTATGTATAAAAGAGCGTTTGTACCCCAAATATTTTTAGCCATATTTAAACTTGGAAAAGATGCAATAAACTCTTTAACGTAAGCTTGTAAAACGTGAAATTAACGTAAACTTCCTTTTTTGTGCACTGTTTGTAGCCAAGAAAGAAACTGACCAATGAACGCAGCCACTGATGGCAACAACGATGTTTCTCAGCCCTGTCTATGTATCATATATATTAACAAAATACAGAAAAACGTTATCACGCCAATACATTTAATCGTCAAAATGAATCACCACAATAGACAGCGTTTACTTAATGACTGATGAAAAAAACACGATGAACATTTGCAAGGGTATAATAGATTCCAATATAATGACTGTAGTATTACTAACTTTCCTATTTAGTGATTAACCGTAACTATGAATATTTGTTTAACCATATGTGGATTTTTGACTTCTTTCGATCTGGAATACGTTTTGCACTCAGATATTACACACACTTTAGTCGTTCGATTACTTCTATTTTGAAACAGCACTAACATTAACACCATAGTCAAATTCAAAGTTTAAGGGCAACTAGCAGCATACCTTGAATGGATAAACAACTGAAGTTATGACAAACCTTAAAAATGCGTGAAATTAAAAACATAGTAGCGTTAAGGCTCTTGTTGTACAACCGCTGCAAAGTTGAACTAACTGAAACAAACTTATTATGTAATAGTGTCTTATCTACCAACGTACATAATTTAATTAGGAGTTGAATGCTTCTGCTCAAAAGGATACCGATTGAACAATTGGCCGACAACCGGTAGAACTATTAGAGGACTCCTGGAGGTCGAGACAAGTAACCAGTACTATCTCGATTGATAAACAGCACATCCACGCGAAATCAGCGAAGGTCTACAATCGTTATCACTAAGTGCATATATATATCTTGGTGCTTTTGCAGTTAATCGTTGCAGTTAATATCACTCATGTACCGCAAAGCTAAACACTGTACGGAAAAACCAGAAATTACTTTTGGTCAATCTCTCAAGGTTTCGAACGCACCTTACGGATAACAACCGCCGGTAGCGGAACGATTGAGGAACCAGCAAGGTCAGCAGCTGATCTCGACAGTCCTACGTACCATGCTCGTAATCACGAATGATAGCTGGAAATTCACTGTTTTGGTCTAAAAATGACCTCTATTCAGATACAGGCTTTTTCAGACACCCTGCCTAAAGTTGAAGTATTTGTTAGGTAAAAAAAAATTATTTTAAATTGCTCAACACACATATCGCTTCCATGGTTCAGCTTCGCTCAAAGCTTCTATGCTTAGAATGCTGCCCTCTTTTTATCGCCGAATCATGTACGGTAGTCCATTGTACTGTTTCCGAGGTAGTTGTCGTTGCTCTCCCATGGTCAGCTCTTAGAGTCTTGCCTCTCTCCCTCTTGCTGCAGATGGCTCAGATTTTAGCAGCACTCTAAGTTTACGTGTACCATACCTACTCTGTTTGCTGCTGTTGACGAGCCGGCTGATCACGGTGGTAAATCGAATAGTGGAACAAAAAATATAGGCGGTTCTCAAAGTCAAGTTTCTTGGGCTGTTGCAGGCGTGTTAGAATGTTATTGGCAGTCACAATAAGCGTGCTCGCATCTGTGCTCATTACACTAGTTAAAGGTAAGAAGAAAGAACGTCAGTTATTTACAGACGACATATTAGCTCATTTATATTACAGGCGGTGCTGCTTGATCGATCATTATAGTAGAGTCATTGGTTTACTTCCCATAAAAAAGAACGTTATTGTCGGACGCAAGGGGACATCAACAACGGTGGACGCGTATAGTGTCTTTAGTTCTTTATTCGCTCGTCCGCAGTGGGCGCGGATGTCTAGCAGGGACACAAAGTTGCACCATTAACACTTGTGACAATATCGACCTCATACGTAATATCGGATGTTGTTGTTAAATTAATTTAAGTCTAAGATAAATTATTCTGATTTATGAAATTGAACAGGAAGAGAGCACGACTATGTGACATGTACGTCGATGATGAAGTTAGAAAACCAGAACTATATGGTGAGATTGCATTCACACGACGTGAAGTACGGCACTGGCAGTGGCCAGCAGGTGAGGCCCTCATAAAAATACTTTATCTAAATTTAGAATACAGAACGTACAGACTTACCATGCTAGACGATCTATAAGTAAGGTTATCATTTCGTTTTTTTAATGCGAAAATCCAAAACATGGCAATACCAGAAATTTAGTAAGCAATATATTTCGATTCCGTTAGTATGTTGGAGCTTTGCTGTGAATTCTACTGGAACATTACTTCTGTACGAAAGAAATGCGAAAAATTGATGAACTATAATTGGTAGTAAGGGATGTGTCAGTCAGTTTTAAATGCATGTATTCTATAATACTGATTTTAGTCAGTGACAGCCACACAAGAAAAAGATGACCATAACTCGTACTGGGTCGTAAAAGGCACCAAAGCAAAACCATGCGGCCGCGGGGATCCCATTGAATGTAATCAACTCGTTCGTATGGAGCACCTCGCCACAAAAAAAAATCTTCACTCTCATCATTTCACTTCACCACTTTCGGGTATGATTGGATTATTTTTTTGATTGCATTTGAGTAATATCCTGCGTTCAGTGCATAACAATTCTGAATATTAATGTAGTTGCACATCGAAAATTTAAGATCTATTTTTAATTTTATTCCATGCCGAATTTATTTTAGGAAAACATTTTCTATTATCAACTGAGTATTTACTGTGTTATTTCAAATTCTCGTATATTAGATGGACGTTCTTTGTATAATCTATAACATATTTCAAGTGGTTGCGTATTGAATGGAAGCTCAACATTTTTTTTCCATGGCGGTCTATGTGCGACTATCTTCGGCCTATGACAGGTGGATCAATTCCTATTACTATGAGTTTGCTTAAGCTTCATACCTATGTAATTCTTTGAGTTGACTTAAACGCTCCTAAAATGTATGGCACATCGTTGGTCGGCACGTGTTGTTTCTGTAAAATGGTCCGCTGTTGACGACAGAGCCGAAATTTACAGAATTTAGTATAAGATCCCTATAATCTTATATCTGTATCTATTATCTGTAAAGTTCTGCCGTGCCTGTAAAAAAAAAGGACTCCAACGACCGTAATAGCAATAAAATGGCGACCTGTGTTATTAAAAGTAATATATGGGAGCCTCAGGTAAAATATAGGAACCGTGTCTCAGGTATTGGAGGAGAGGAATTGAGAAACAAGTCTATTGCACAGGAATTTACGTCTCAGAAAAAAAATCTAAGCGGTTTAATCTTTTTGCACCACTGTCTTCTAGGTAATCAAGAAATATCGGCGTTCGGTAAGAACGGAGAGGGAGATTCGGGTGACCACTGGAAGGTAATCTGCTCGAACACGTTCTGGGAAAGAGATCAAGCCGTACGCCTTAAACACGTCGATACCGAAACGTGAGTATTATAATACCACAATTAAATTTCGTTGTTTTACTTTTGGCACCGTTAACAAAATGCCATTTCGAGTAATTGTAATGTAATTAAAAGAATACTTTTAATTCGGAATCGCTGGGTATCGACCTCTGTTGCTAATTGTTTATCTTATTGCAGTCTCAAATATCGTTTGTTAATTCTCTAATCAACCGTTCGATCGTTCTTTTTAATGGCAGGTGGTTGTCTCTATCTGGACAGTCGTTTGGTCGTCCGATTTCCGGTCAGATGGAAGTCATTGGCGCAACTTATGCTGACTCGTCTTCGTACTGGAAAGCTCAGGAAGGAGTTTTCGTGAGACTAGCTGACATCGGTATGGGCAGTTTTGTTCGAGACGATTTGGGACGAAAGATCGAACACAACGAACTCTAGATCCAGTAAAATCACTAATTGCTCACGCTGATGACAAACTCCACAAATTAATCCTTTGGAAGAAATCAAGTTTGATAATTGTTTTCACCCAGATACACATGTTGGCCTGCTGTAACTGTTCAGTATAATAGAATTACGTTACTATAACAGAGTGCACGTGCGAGCTTTCTCATTGTGCTCTGCCGGCATCATAATATATGAGAGCGCGCAGGGCAAACTTTTGGTAAAGTTTTATACGACCTATTGCCGAAATGTTTTAGTGAAAACTGTGGAATAGCTTTCGTTTAAACAAATAAATTTAACTATGAAGACGCGCTTATTATATCAGCGGTGTCTGCCTTCGGTTTTAAATTCAGCGGTGTCACACAGGAATGATAAGCACCATACGTGGTCTATTGCCACCGAAGGATATGCTAATCAATGTAATTTCATTTCGTCACCTGTGAGAGACGATTGGCACTAGAGAAATTTTGCTTTATCCTACGAACGCTAAAACTAGTAGATCTTTCTAGATCAACGGTGCAGTTAGCAATGTAAACAATTTTACTTCATTATCCCGTCGCACATTGTGTCTCTTGTCAATATTCGTGCACGGGTTTCAATACGTCTGTAAATAACCATGCTACTAAATAAATATATAGTTATATTATAGAATATACGTTTTTCTTCCTGAGATCGAAAAGATGTTTGTACAGGCAGCATAAATGTGGTTTAAGTTTAACTTATGGACTCAACAGAGCCGACAACCTTATATTTTTACATGATGCGCAAGTCTGTTCTCATAGACTACAGAATTTCACAAAATTCAGCGTTCATGAAACTGTCTAAATACGTCAGAATACGCTTCGTGTATTGCCAGGACTGCGTATTCTGCGAGGTAAGCGTCGCTTAATGGCATATGAAGACGGAGTGTGTATGGCTTAGTGGCTTTTGCACTAAATACATAAAAGCTCACAGAGATAATGAAGTACAGTCAATGATACTTTCCAGTGCCACGCTAAAAAAAGAGTAGTCTCATTTATCTAAAAACTATCAGAGAGGTCGAACCAGTCGCATAATACCGTGATTACAAAGTAATTGAGTTTTAGCAACTGAAAAAACTAACAGAGTTGCCTAAGATCTAAGACTACAGTGGAACGAAGGCACGAAATATATTTTTCGACATACTAATTGAATCTAACACAAACCACAGTCTACCCATTTAACTGTTACAGCTAGTTTGAAGTCATTTTATCGTGGCCATAGGGACGAGAGTAGACACCCGTGGACCAGTATTTACCTATGTTGTTCATCACACGTGCTTTGCTCGACAATGCTAGGATCAATGGTCCATTATTTTAGATGACTTTTTTTTTCTCTACATAAGTGCCATGCAGTATGTTACATCGACATAGAGAGCATGAAGAGAGATAAATAATGTTACATTTCTAGTAAGATGATGAATAAGGCGAGCATTTTCATTATTTCCATATACATTTTCTCTAGTGTAGTTTTCTATTACTATTATATTTTTTATTTTTATTATTTCTCTATATCCTAAAATACGAACAACTCTTCCTAGTATATTTATTTGGTCAAGAGACCAGAAATAACGAGAAAATTTTGTGCTTATAATAAATTTGTGAAATGTAGCTGATACAGCAGCACACTGCAGCGGTGCGCGATACTGTATGTGTTTTATTTCGCTATAATGTACGCAATTGTTCACTTTAGGACAAGTTAACACGTAATTACTATCGATACAACTCTGAATGTTTACTACAGGAGACACAAAAGTAAACGAATTGTCTAGTGGTAGCTGGCCATCGTGGATTTGTTCTTTACCTAACCTAAGGAGCCCGTTTTAATTTCGCAATAACTATGATGATCAAAGATGCACAGCGGTTCTTCATATTCAGAGTGGGACTTACGAAAACGTGTCAGCTGTTTACTTGTTTAAATTTGTAGCATAAGTTAAGCTAGGTATCGATGAATGTTTTTATGTAAGATTGAAATCTCAGTAGCGTCCGGTAATGCGGCTGGACGCGCAGTTATAAAAAAAATGGAGCTCAAATATTAACAAGCGAAGTAGTTTATAATGTAGAACGCCGCCAAAGGTTATACCTGGCTAATATGACGTCCGTCTAATGAATTACAAAATTTCTATATATTTATTCGTGTCATGATGATCCCGCTCAATAAACTCAGTCTCATGAGATCATCGATGCTGTCTTTCATCAATCGCCAAGTTGGGGCGAAGTGTTTTCGAGTCATTCAATCACCTTCGTCTGGAGCTCTGCATAATTTAAAGTCTTGTACCCTTTCATGACCGTCATGATAGCCTGCTGCATTGCATTCACCCAAAAAAAATGCCAGAAAACGTCAGTATACCGTTCTTCTAAAGAAAAGTAGTGTAATAAAAATCATTTATAGCGAACACATTCACTTCGGCCGGATGGTTCGGTCGAATAAATCGAAACGTTAGCACAATTTCATCAGTAGCAACATAAAATGATGAGCTACAAATGCCGCATTAGGTACAATTTAAGCAAATCTTCGGACGCCATGTGAATATTCGTTGACTACAGCAAATAGCTAGGCCTAATCACTAATGCAACAGCTTGCAACACCATCGATCGCTGCCATAACAGTAACAGTGGGATAATCTATCCGACTGTCGTTAACTACATGACTTTGAAGAAGGCACCGCCATCATCTCCAAACGACTGCAACCAAGTCACTCGAGTTCGACTTTCATCTATGCAAAAAGCGATCGGCAAGGAGGATCCCACCAAGTATCGTGGCCCAGAGTAAGTAAATATATTTAAGCGTAGAGCAGTGTTAAAAGGTTTCAGCTGTTATAAAAATGTCACGACTATTGATAAAGGCTTTGAATCTTCCAACAATTCCTTGAAACAAATGGGACGATATAAAAGTTATTCAACAAAAGCCGTCGTGATCATCTATACCTGCTTTTCCACCTACATTAGTTCGATTTACTTGAAGATAAGCAATGTCTTTACTACTCTCCTCTACGATCTTCTCGCCATATGTACGTCCCGAGCATCAGGCTAATGGTTTCACGATCCAGCCGATTATCAGCGCGCCTGAAAAGCGATTATATGTGATGATAATAACGATAATAATAATGCGTGCTTCATCTCAATGTTTGTAGGTCTACCGCATCTGTTGCTCTTGCATATAGCGCACTAGTACCGCTAAGCGTCCTCATGAGGAAGTCCAAGACCTCGTAATAATTAAATGAGTGGCTCTAAAACTAGATTCTCTAAGTTAGTTAAAAAGTTACTTTACATCTGTAATGTTACACCCTTTATGTAGTTAACCGCGTATCGTAACAAGATAAAGATGTTTGCCTTATCCATATACTGACATGATACAGAAGTCATAATTAACGAGTTCATTTGCTTAGTGAAAACTTCCGGGCAGGTGAGTAGAGTGTAAAGCGTCCGTCGAAGCTCGTCCTTTAGCACATCTATCGGAACGGAATCTTCTCCTGTAAGTTTTACACTCAGCAATGACAAGTACACAATCTTACACTTATAATGTAACAACGGAATTTAATGAATGACATAACTTGTGCGTGCCCAGCACATCGACTCCTATGTAGCTCATATAATATAGTTCGTTTAGTATTTGATACATAGATCTTTGTAATGCCCCTTTTTACGATTAGTATGTGAGCAATTAAATATACGAGGGCTACTATGCTTATCTTTTTTACGCATCACATATATATATATATGTATATGTGTAGAACTTAGTTGTGGGCGTTGGTTCCACGCGAAAAGTACAGCCACTTGAACTGTTGTAAGTTCGAGGTCATATGTTCCGCTGTGGGTTTTAAAGGAAACCATTCCATCAGACATATGGTACTGCCAGTAAAGGTTATTTGCGTGCGCGCCTTCATAAGTCTTACAGCTGTGTAGATGTTACACGATTAAAAAGACTAACTCGGGATGGGCCTTTGGGTAGTTGAAGTAAGAAGAGACTGGGATTATGTCCAAAACACATAGTCAACAGGTTAATTCCATTCATTAATATGTCACGCTAGTGAATTGAGTTTATTTGAAACATGGCTTTTCGCTATGATCGCTCGCCATTTTTGGGAAGCGTTTATCATTCGGTCACATGTCAACAATTTCATTAAAAGGAACCAATACCAATCAAAGCATTCCAAATGTTTTAGATTTATATAGGTTGCACGTGTTTTAAGGTGCGGAATAAACTATGACAAATATTTGAGTACGTCGTATATTATTAAAGCAATGCGTACAAATAAAGATGAACGTGAAAAAAGTAGACCCAATATGCAGGACACCGTCGGCAACTTCGGTGATTTTAGGTGGAAGCGTAAAAGACTAATATCGTTAAAGGGTGATATATTAAATAGTTTTAAAGCTCACTAAAAGCATGGTACACATCTTTTTTTAAATTTACATTTTTTTTTTTAAATTTGCACTAGTGAAGGCATTGTTTCCGCGTGTGTCACCTTTCACAGAAGAATACGTGTTACTCATTGAGGTTATCCAAAACTAAAAGCTTGTTGTAAAAAGCAGCAATTTCTGCAAACAATAGCGTAACTGCGTCAAATCACGCCAAATCATTTCCGTAAATTACGTAAAAAACGTTAATTAAGAATAACGGAGTATTCTGGCAGATTGAACTCATCTCCGAAATGAAAATGCAACTGCATCGAGATAAAGTGAGATGATAGTTCGGAGAGACGTACTTTGTAATAAAAACATGCAGAAAAAACACAAATGGAAAGTGCAGTTTCACTTATTGATTACAACTCCTACTTGGAATCGTTGATAACTTCCAAAAAGGCCTGATCTTGCACGGTGATAAAATGCACATCCGTTCCAGTCACGGCATGCAGTTATGTTAATCCAATACTCGGAAACATTTCAATAGAGTAATAATGAAATCAACATAATGCTGGGAGTTTCCTGGGAATGTACTTCTTAAGTTGTTTCAACATGGGTTCAAGAGCTTTTCCAGCTGCTTTCAGACTTATCTGTATGTCAAGAGGATCATTGCACGTAATATTTTAACGGCCTTTTTTCAATGACGACTAATAGCAATGATAAAGGCATCAAAAACCACGCAACGAAAACGAAACGGTTAGGAAATTAATTCGTAGTATTATTATGTAAAGCAAATTTGCATAGTAAGTTGCCGTAAATTATCCTTATTATTAAATGATATCCCTGAAATGGTGCTCGTACAAAATGATGCGTTACACAAAGCTGTTCGAATATTTTACGTCGCTTTTTGTGGCCAAGTTTGGGTGCACATTGTTGTATAAGAAGCACGGGGAAATTGATCAAAAACTCCGTATTTAGTTTCTTTTGGATCGTTTACTTACCTGTACATTCAGTGTGGTATGTATGGTAGATATGTGTCTTGACGAGCTCGTCCGAAAGCCAGACATGTAGGTTATTCCTTGACTTGGGGGAATCGTTGAGATACCTGTGACTTCGTGCATCTTCTTCAGACCACTTTTTGTCGGCATGCTTCTATTACTCTATGCTGTTCGAGATATGTAGAAACCTGCTTTCCATATATATCGGGAAGGTCCTTGAGATATGCTTCTTCGAAATTTGTAAGATATGCCTGCGATAAATTGGCACCGTAACAGCATATTATCTAAAAATGTTGTCTAACTAGGTTTTACCGTCGTATCATATCGGTTTGGAACTAATAAAAGCTAATAAGAATTAACTAGAATAGTTTGTTCGATGAACGCATAGTTGGATCTAAATAAAATCAGCGCATTTTCTCTATAGGTAAGTTTAGTATAAGCTTAACCTACGAACTGAGCAGGACTAATTCCTTCTGGCTTTGTCGTCTCGTTAATAAGCGCCTTAAAATTCTCCTGGGTATCTTTGATCGGTTTGACTTGTCGATCTTCCTTCCCTCTCACGACTGACGATTGTCAACGTTACCATTCTGAGCCGTCGAGTTATCTCGTTAAAAACAATTTTCTCTCATACAAGGATGACGAGCCCACGAATTATGCTCTTCTCATCGTAGCTATCCGATTGCCTCTCTATAAACGAATAAGAGGAAGAGAATTTCTCTAAAAATTATAAAGACTACTAAGAATAGCACCCGCCTGTTGCTTTGGGGTCGTTTTATGATAAAGGCATGATTTTTACAGAATAATGATAGTTGATACGTCATACGAAAAAACAGAGGTGTTTCGTAAATACCTGGCAAAATAGGATCCTTTCCAGTAGCTTTCTGCATCAGACAGATTCGGTTAGCTAATGCATAATAGATGTTATGGAATGAAAATTGTGGTTGACAAGTTATCTTATAGGCCTTGCTGTACTCGTTTTGCAAAACTTCACTCATTCTGCTTTTGATGAGCCGCTGGAGTTTGCCACCGCCGTTGTCAGATTGTTTTGGCAAACAATGACGCAGAATAAACAGCAAAGAGCTGCAAATTAACATAGCAATTTTACCTTGGCATATGATAGATTGCCAATTGAAATATTCTAACTTCACATGGCTACAAATTCGTCTTGACTCTAATGAACACTGAGCAAATTGCTCAGGCTGGGAAATTCCTAATTAAAGTAAATAAAGTAAGTGCGTTATACTAACTTTTTGATCACCTATGAAGATCCTGTTTAAGCACAGAAGTGAAGATTTCATCGCACCCTTTATCCACATGAACACGTCGTGAAGAGTTCTACTCAGTTGTAGAATGTGCCGCTTCTGTTATCAGTAGTAAGTGTAAGCATAACAACTCAGCACTTTACAGCTTTTTTCAAGGTCTAACTAACAGCAGCTCGCTAACAAATTTGGATTATCTATTATTTGTAGTAAAATTTTTGATTTTTTTCGAGATTGTCCGCCCATCATTTTATTTATTCGTAGTTGATTATATTAATGGATTCAAGTGGTAGTAGATTTTGATCCATTGCAATCAGGTGCTATCGTCTGCTTGTCTATGAATCAAGCCCCTTAAGCGACATTATAAAGTTTCGTACGGAAAGAAATCTACAAAGAGCGATAAAGGACACCTTTTATGCAATAAGTAAACTCAGCGTTTGCAGAGATCACACTGAACACAACGGATGCAGCTTAGGTTCTATCGACTGAAATAAACAGCCTAAGTTCTAGCAATAATTTAATGAGGACTTTATTAAAATATGAAAACTGATTGCTTAAGTGGACATTGGCCTTAATAGCTTTTAAGACAGTATATATATATATATATATATATATATTTTATTTATTCTCTAACTTCAAGCAACAAACATTACGTATATATAACACAACTGATATAGAGCACGGTCCATTAATAAACAATCATAACTTATGAGCCCGTCAGTTACCAATCATTAGTTAATAATCATTAACATGGCATCACATTATGATATTGCTATGTCCAAAACAAAATGGACACTCTGAATCCCCGTCCATCGCATTTAGTTGCATTACATTATACTTACTCGAAGAGATTCAGCCATTTGTCTCTCGGAATTTTCTCATCGTTCATTATCTTCAAAAAGGTATTCTCAATTTTAGGGTATACATCGCGAATCTTCACCTGCAAGTTGTTAGGTAATAAAAAAAAATCTCGTTGAACAAATGTCATTTTATGAGACTGTGGGGCGACGATATTACTGCCATGTTGAACAGTGAAAATTTAACGTAAACCATTAATAACATAATAAGAAAATGGTCAAATTCTCCAAAACAAGTTAATCTTAGATCAATTTTAAACTTTCTGAACTGGGAAAAAAGAAAAACTATTTCTAGTTGTTTTCGAATCGCCAGCTTGTGTGCGACAGCATATTTGGCGGCTTTATTAGGTAAGGTTCACCGACATTATTGCGCCCCTTTGTCCGTCATCAGTTCTTCAGCCCACTGTGTACTATTAATTATACTAGTTACGCTAAACTGAATAGCGCTATAATAATCGTGAAGTAGTGGCTCTGTGCAAGTTGCTATTTGCGAGAACCCATGTATAAAAAATGTAAAAACAGCATAGTAAATAAATGTGTGGAATGGAATAGAAATCCGGCACTGGTACGAAATTCATTATGTGGCGGATAGCGTTTGTTGTTTGCTTTGGCTAAAACTGTCCCATTAAATGGTATTAGATAGCTCTCTGCGCCAATTTCAAAAAAGTGCGCGAAAAGGACCCTCTGGATAATTCTAACGATGATCACGCTGACTATTATCAAATCTATTGATCGAACAATGCATGTAGTTATATGAACTAATGTTGAATAATTATTACTTCGAGGTAATTATGTTTGCTGCAGGAAATCGGTTCGGAATCAGTGTTCGTTATATAATGACAACAAAGCTCAACACCTGCATTGGTTATTAAATAAAAGTGGTATATTTATTTATTCAATTTTGTGATACATCTGAATAATCAGCATCAAGCCTATGAGGTTAAAACCCGGCTGGAAAAAAAAGCCTCACTCTGGGCTAATACATACAAATAAAACAGGGATATGAGAACGCTGATGCGCCTCAGCACATCAGATCATCCTAGTTTGCATGATCATGACAACGTCACAATCATACAGCCATTGTGCCCGCTATAAAGCATATCTAGATTCTAGAAGAAATTCATGGGTCTTCGTCAAAAATCACTGCTTAAAAATAAGTAGTTTCCAGACAATTTAGCTGAAATACTGAGCGCCCTAGATGAACACCCTGGTACTATCCAACACATTTTGTCTCAATTGGTTAATCATGATAATAATTATTATTATTATTATCATCGCATCACATTTTAATAGAGGATTACAACAAATCTGTGCTATTTAAAACAAGTGCTACTTAAAAATATAAAGACCTACTTCGTACGTTCAACAAATTCAACAAATCTACAAAGCCATCCTTCAGAGACTCGTCTACGTTTACCAGTGTGATGAAATGTAGCTAGAAAAGCTTGAGGTTTCGGACTCAATACCACGTCGGTCGGCGATTTTTATTACGTTCTTAATTGAGCTCCAACTTTCAAACATTATAATAGCGTAAAAAGCTATCCGTTACTTAGACACAACAGAACAGGAGAAGCTTTACGCCGGTCTTCTATTAACAGTTGGCGAACATTTGCTTCCAGAATGAATTTGCGTCACCATCATGAGTCGATCCCAAACAAACCGAATAAAATGAGGTAACATCCGTTCGCACAGGAGTCAACAATTGCAAGGCATGATTCCCGTTTAATCTGAGTGTAATTGTGGATCTATGGAATTGTTTTTAAAGCGCATGCATCGCCAACCGAGGAACCAACAAAAGCACAGTGAAATATCTTCAATTCTGAAAACACACCGCCTCTCAAAGTAACCATCTACTTACCTCCTTAGCCACGAGCAGTATCTTTCGTTGAAAAAGAAAAACACGAGCGCGTGGTTTCAGGCGGTCTTACTACCGGACTAGCTCGAGCAGACCTTGGCGTTTACCAATAACTGTTAAGCACGCCCAAATCATTTATCTGTCTAATCAGTTTACTACGGTAAGCTGATGTAAGCGTTTGACGCATTGCGAATGAGCTATTTCTGAGTTGTGGAAAACACATCGGCTCCAAATAATCAAGATACGGACGTGCTCAGTTTGCTTCGGACAGATTGGTAGCTAGCTGTCTACATAGAATCTGCTAACTAGAAACAGTCACGGCTTTCCTCGCACCCTTTGAAGCCTCTTCTTCAAAACAAATATGATGTGGAGCTTCCTTGTGCGCCTCGCGTCACATGTAGCCTGCTCCTACCTTCCTTGCCCATAACATGTTGCCCCAAACAAGTAACGCGTCGATTTACCGATAATATTCATTGCGTTTTTGTGCTGGTGACGACAAAGTAACCGGCGACCTTTAGCAATTTTTCCCGCTCAGAGAAAAGGCATCAACATCCTGTAATATTTGAACAAGCAGAAATTATCGAGCTTCATTTCCTGGTAGATAGATTGGGGCAAATGTTCTTGCCCTATTCCGGGTACGAGCAGATAATTCGGACCACTGTCTCCTTAGTTGTTCTACAAGAAGCTACTAACGATCTACCAAGCAGTCGACTGTATCACGGACTCGTGTAGTTGCAATCAGAGATACACACTGGATTGTTTGACTAGATGTTTTTGGTTTTCTTGTGTTAGGCAGTTTCTTATTTCAATATGGGCGTCATTTGGAAAACGAAATTTGGTAGTAGTGCACCGTCCTAAAATAATTGTAATGTCTTTATTTAGGTTTAATATAGAGCGCCTTAAAGACGAGTAACAAAATTTTGTGAAAAGATTTACTGTATTCTACAATTTTATTACGATAAAGGCACATGTGTTGCCCATCCGCATAAAAGAGTTGATGTTGTTTACTATTAAGATACATTTGGCGGATAAAACCGTCCAAAAATGGTTCTATCGGAAACTTCGACGGCGTCAAAGATGCTCCCTTGTGGTGATCGATCACTTACGAAAAAAAAGTCGATGAAATTGTTGCAGACGTTAAATAGGACCGACACACGGGTAACATTATATGACGTCGTCAAGGGATGAAATTTTTACCGCCAAACTGTTTTAAACCATTTGTAGAAGAGTGGCTGCAAAAAAGCTCGACACTTGGAAATTGATGCGAAAGGATTCATTCGATCGTAATTCCATCTGCGAAGCTGTAGAGAAGCGCAATCAAATCTAGCCATTTTTGAGACGGTTAATTACGGGTGATATCAAAGGGATCACATGCAGCAATACTGTACAAATGCAAAAAAGTTACTCCACTGCCTTTAACTGATGCGGAAGAAGGTGATTCACTGTGTACTTGCTCGGATTGAAAAGGAATCGTTAAGAGCCGCTGCTGCTACCGCGGCCGCCGCCACCACCGCGTGACGTAACGATTCATTCGGACCTTTACTGTCAATAACTTATAAGGTTAGAGAAAACCATTGAAAGAAAAATAGACCGGAAACTACTAAACAAATAAAGCGTCGCTTTTCATTATGGCAATATCACCGGACTATATATTTCCTTAGCGCTACTTTCTAAGGTCTAATTATAACGCACCCGCCGTATAGCCTGGATCTTGCACCATCCAACCATCATGTGTTTTAGTCTATACGGAAGTCTTTTATTAGGGCGAGTTTAGTTTCAATGAAGGGATACAAAAGTTAGTTATTACAAAACGGCAGAAACTCTACAGCGACGGGAATATGTTTTTACCAGAAAAATAGCGGAAAGTTATCGATTACAATGGCGCACATTTAGTTTAGTCATATTATTTTAATATATAACATTGCTTCAATGAAGGCTTAAAAACGGTCCGTTTTTTTTTTCATATATACATATAGTGGCAGCGATCATTTGGCACCGGCGAGAAGAGGACGAATCGTTCGAGCCTATTGAAGCGAAGTGGTCGGCCAAGCGACAGTATTAAGGTCTCTAGTGGAACGTTCGGCAGAGAGCGTCGGAGAAATCGCGTTGCTACCGAATTCACGATTTACAAACTATTCGAGGCCAGCGCAATGGATTAGGACGTTGGAGACGGTGGCATAAGCGCCGGTTCAGCTTTGTTTACGGACTTTTACCAGACCCAGTCTAATGCTAACTCGTTTGCGGACGGCACGCTGACGTGGGGTAAATTCAAGGCCCGTTAATGCATGATTACGATATGTATATTAAGACTACATTAGAAGAAAACTATGAAAACAATGGGGCAAAAACCATAAGAAAAAAAAAGGTAAAAACACATAACGACATGAAAATTTTTGGGGTAAGGCAACTCGTCCACCTGCAAAAATTGCAGAGGCATGTCAGCTAGCTTTAATCTACATAGTGAAACAGCTAAGCTACCCGCTTGATCTTTAAATCGATGGTTCCTCGAACTAACGTAAGCTTAGCTCAGTATAACGAAGAAAAACAAAAGCATTTTACAAGGCTTTTACATTTGTATAGAATAAGTAGGCCTTTTTGAAGAAGTGTACATATGATGGAAAGCCATTTAATTCTTTGTTTTTATATTTGTTTGTTGTGTGAACAGCGTTGTTAATAGTTACACGTTCTCACGAGAGTTCTATTGTGGCAAATTTCGCAATGCACCTGGCAGCACCATTCGAATCTGCATCTGCAATGAACGCCTTCAATTCGCCATTCTTCGGTATAGCCCCTTCCGCAACATAAATACCTGAGGAGTTCAATAGAGACAGATTGCTTAAAGTTGCATCAGCCTCCTTGTCGTCGGCATCAAACGTCAATAAAAAATATTTTTACAGCCAATACCATTCGTATAAGCTAACTCGAAATAACAAAAATATCTACGAAAAATGCTCTTTTTAGTGAGTCATTATTATTATGAAGAGGAACAGACAATAATCCTTGAGTGGGACAAGGATTGCAGAGATCAATAGATCTTCCTTACTACTTGGCTGATAACAGTCCTCAGTCACAACTATCGAGTTTAGCATCCACATAACAAGGAAACGGCTTCCGTGAACGGATTCGTGCTCAAATAATACGTACTCGGAATTTTCTTTTGTGCACTTCCGTCCGCCAGTTCCGCGTGATCCATTATTCGGATCGTATCTGCAATAGTCCGTTAGGTCCGAAGTGAAGATAAGCTCCTTAGGCTTAATAGATGATACCCGCTGTTTGCCATTATAACGACTCTGTCGCTTACGATGATGCCGCGGGACTTCGACTACGGCTTGATTTCGCTCGACCGAGTTGTAACGGTCTCGTATACCTGTTCCATCTGTAGCGCTTCTTAATAAAAGCTGCCCATCCTGGACTTGAGGTTGTTCAACCTGGAGCGCTTGCCTATATCTATATGCATGTAGAACACGAAAAAATAACGGTGCTTTTGTTAGTTTTTGCTTGTATCGCGCTTTCGTTCGATTGGATGCCCAAGCAGTTTCATCTTGTGTATATAACTGTTAGCCGTCGCTTACGCGTGCTGAAATTTCAAAATCGATTTGCAGCTGCAAGTCCACTAAATGTTTCAACGGAAACGAGCAACGTTCGTTAGTACTGCGTAATCTCTTTAGAGTCTCAGGAGAGAACAAAACATCTGTTATTTCTGCTGTATCTGACCTTTTAGTTAAATAATCGCCAATTGCATACACAGGTGCAAGAGTCTTCCAACACGTCTTGAGATTACATGCGCCACTGGTACCATGACAACGACATATTGTCCGTCGTGTGTATTTAACCGCCTATAAAATCACATGGTAGTTAGGATTTGAAGGAAGCAAACGTAATCTTTGAATGCTCTTAATGTCAAACCATCGGTACGGCTTTGAAGAGATGTCCGTTAGCACGAAATGCGTTTATAAATGCAAAACTACTAAATATGTCACTTTGCTTAAAACAGTACTAAAGGATTTTGCAGCGATTTTCAGACACTGACCAAGGAATAAGCTGATACTTACAAGCCTTCCTGCCATGTTATTGTGACGATCGATGTGGTCCTGAGCTCTAACCTTCCCTATTACCTTGGATCCACTGCCGGTCTCCATAAACCTTCGGTTTAACCTTATCGGGTGGCGCAGGTCGGCTGAGCATCCGCCCCATTTCCACATTGGAAAGTCAGGTAGCGCACGGCCATGTAACTCTCGATCGCAGCGACAATTACGAAGACTGCCATCGGCGCAGCCGCGGACGAGGGCGTGCGTCATAGCGCCGGCGGCGATCGCGTGCACGAAGGAAGCCTCGCGGCTCCCTGTAAGAATAAAATGTATCTTTTTTATTGAACTATAGTTGCATAAGTACAATATAATAAGCGAACTTGCTTCGTGAGGGTAAAATCTGGCAAAACCTTGGACAAAAGTCTTTTAGTAGGTACGATTTCTTAACAGATTATCTGTAATACTGGTAGAGTGTAACAATTCAGTTCAGTGCAAGGAATTAGGCTTTTTTTTTTCAAGATAAATTTGTTCAAAGTTTAGCTGAAATAAATCCAGCATTTCTCAATTTTCAATTCTATGTAAATGTAACTCCGTGCACTTATTCAGACGGAAAATAATTTCTACGCTCGTCGTTCTTTGAATCCTGATTACCGGATACAAGACTGTGTGTGAGTCCAGCAGGTCCTTTTTTCACTAAGGAGCAGTTCCATCGCATGTCTTTGAATGCCCGGAGGCATTCTCTAAGCGCCGCTTCCGCGCCCTTCCCCATAAGCCACGTCTCTGTCGGATGCGCCTGGCAGAAACGTCGTTGCGGAGCGCTGAATAGCGAATCGCTGCAATTTTCATCAGCTGAAGGTTTCTGATACGGCATAACTGACGACAAAGCAGTCGCGATCGTTTTGGGTTCTGAGGTTGGCGAAGAGATACCGTTGTTAATATGTGGGGTTGACTGAAGACTGTAAGAATCATCCACTGGCTCCTGGTGATGCCGACGGTTTTGAGTAGTATAAGGAAATTGGCCTGGAGATAGCCCGACACGCGGAACTACTCGCGAGATCTGAATGATGCTGAAATCATTCAAGACAAGTCGTCAATGTTAAGGCTTCGACAGGATACGAACACGAACTTTAACTGGAAACCATTCATTGACTGATATTATAGATGCTTAGGGAGCAAGCCGCCCTCATCGTCATCGATACGATCTCATTGTTGGTCCTATTTGAAACGATACCTACAGGCGACGATATCGCAAAAGTCTAGCAATAATGGGCGTTTAAATGGGTGAGCGGAATAGGTCTTACAACGATTTGATGTTGAATTTGTTTCAGCTCGTCCGTATCGATAAGTTAACGTTATATGATACTAAAATAGATTTGAATCAATTTTGTACTTTACATATTACACTGGACGCACTGGTTTCGAAGGCCAAGCCCATGATAAAGGACAAACTCTATTAGAGATCGCCAATATCCCGCCAACGATACATAGGTAGTATACAAAAATTCAGAATTTTTTATGCGTATTTTAGAAAAAAGGCATATTCCAACACACATTTGACTGATTGAACACTTGGCCGTTCAGGCTTTTTTACATATCGTATTTTTACGGTAATTCTATTGGTTGTTTGTAAGCTAATACATCTATTTCATGCTATAGCTATGCAAAAATTCTCCAATCCAATCCAATACTAACAACTGGAACTCAATGGTGTGATGACCATGAATAGATTTTCGATCGACAATCAGCGGTAACATTAGGCTCCCATCGGATCTTCAAGCCATAATGTTGTGTGTGAAAATGGCGCCAACTGAAGTCCCTTTTTGACCATTTCACTAGAACGACCGAAACTTGGAAATGGTCTGCGATATCATTTCCATCTACAGCTTCATTGCCGCTCCATCGTAGGCTCGTTAGATTTATGACCCTCGACATGAAAGAAATGCCTGCTGCATATCACAAGGAAACGGCTTCATTGAAACTGGAAAATTTTTGCTTTATACCAGTAAACGCTACCCTGGATCTGAGCAGCAAAGGACAAAGGGGAGTGGCCTGTAATGGAAAGCATTTCTATAGCTACGAATGAACGCTTTAGAACCGTACGTGTCGTTCAATGTCGTTTTCGTCTCGCTGCGCCCACCCTGTCGTGCCGCTAAGCTCAACGCGACTAAACTTAGGGGCTGTAGTGGTGACGGGCAATGGATGAAACGGGCGCAAATTAATGTAATTGAAAGTTGGATGATTCAGTGAGATCGGCAATTCTTTTTTTTTCTCCGATACAGTGATGGACGTTATGAATGGAACACGTGGCTGGCTACCGTCAAGTAACGTCTACTAAAATATAATGCAGATAGCGGTTAATAGAGAAAACTGTCTGTGACAACCGTTGTTGACACGGCGCTATGTTAACGTATGGAAACAGAAACAAAGGCTCCGGCGCCCGTTTGCGGTGTATTAAATCTACAATACTAGATCTTACGTCTTAGATTTTAGTGATAGAATGAGTTAGTGATCGCTAAAACCATGTTATAAGCCTTGCCAAGTTATGACGCTGGTCAATATTACGTATGGAAGCGCAAACCCTTGTTGTAAGGATAATTGGGCGGGTTGGAGGAACACTGGGGCATGGTCGCGTTATGACAACTTGAAGAGGGGCAGTGCAGGTAATAGGCAAGAGGCCTATCCATCTGACTCCAAACTATCTTATTTTACACATTTAGCATTATTATTTAGTTCGTTGCTCTGTAGCGTCATGAAAAGTGGTTGATGACAGACGCTCATATAGTGTTGATTTAACATCCTCGAAAAGAACCAACAATTACCTGCGTTACCATTGCCTATCGGTGAATGAAGAAATAAGTCTATACACTCTGAATACGCTATTTAGATTAACTTATTTGCTGAAGTTAATTTTACGTTTTCATTACTTGCAAAGGTTAAAGAACGGGTCGTTAGCGATTCAAACCCACATTTTCTCAGTCGTATTCAAATAGTTGTTGTCCAATGACGACATCGGTCTGTAACAGCTAGCTAGCTTGCATGACAGGCGTAAAATAAATTAACTACCAGAGGCTGTGCGAGTATAATGTAACGCGTGTCAAGTACCTAATAAAATTGTAGTTCATGACTCGGCATGATTTTTATTAGACCAGTCGACACGACATCGTGCTAGAAACTGAATAGATTGATTCCAGTAATAGGTTTAGCCCGTTGTATAATTACAAACATGCCGTCTTTTCTTTTCTTATAAACACGTCTCGCACTATATACATAGGGTATGCCAAGATGGCAATGGCTGACATGTGGGGGAAATCAGGACATCCATAAACGGCTACGCTTTATGTCCGTCTTTATTTCATACCAACGAAGTGCTTCTTCGTCTTGAGGTCAAACGCAGGTTGTCACTCACACCCCGATGCCACATATACTTTTCATATTTGATCCCAGAGATGGACTTCATGGAAACATTCAATCTTCGGCGCCGAGTTGTCGAAAATTGCCGCGTTCCATTTTTTTTCTCTACGCTACGATGACACGACGCGGACTCTGCAACGCTTTTTAGTTTTAGTTACAGGCAGAAGTTTATTTCAAATGTTCATGGTAGAATGCCTCATTGACGGAGAATATCGATAAATAGATCAACCAAAAAAAAACTTTTTCTTAGCAGTGAGCAAGCATAAAAGCAAATAACAAAATATCTAGATCTATTTGCGAAACTTCAAACATTTGGCGCCCCGACTGAGTCGTCTAGGCTTCACTATTATCTACAATAGAAATTACAATAAACACGAAATAAAAAAAAAATCGAAAATAGTCAATTATATATATAATTCGTGGTAAATCGTATCCTGGACACATTCATTACTTCTTCTGTTTACCTCTTTCGCTTCTGTATTCAGAGTCGATCCCGATCTTCCGTTTGATTTGATTGATCTGGATCTTTCTACCAAAATCAGACAAATAATTTGTCTTCATCATTGCTATTATATAATTGCTGTAATTGTTTTTCTGTCTCGAATTATTCGCCAATAGGAAGAACAGACGTCGTACGTATCGTCATAGTTTACATCTATTCAGAGACGCGTAGCTCTCTTCGTTATCACAATAAGAACAGGTCCCCTCATCGAACTGATCCGATTTCATTTTATTACCTCCCGATTGACACGGGCTTCCATCCTCAATATCCGATAACGAAACGGGTGCCGTCGCATGTTACTTTTCACGCCGAAAACCGGGTATGATGGACTGACTAGTACTTGCGCATAAATTTGTTGGAGGTCAAACTGTATTTGATATACAGTATATACATAATAAACCGAAATTACCGTATTATATTAAGCCAACGTTCACGATTGATTGTGTTATGACTTTTGCGCTGCGGCAGCAGCGGCGGCGGCGGCGGCGGCGGCAGCAGCATCGGACGAACCGATTACAGTTTTAAAACGGCTCCCTTCGTTGTGGCTACACTTGAGAAAAACATCATACCTACTATACATTATAAAATACAAACATAATTTGTCTTTTATGACGGCTATAATCTGATATTAGGGCGTATTAAAGATAATTATTATAGATATACACGTACATCTAAAACTGGAAAGATATGGCGCTATGGTGTTCCTAAAAACGAAATGATACTACTTTCTAGACGACGTTAGATAAGTGGAGCTGTAAATACACTAATTCATAGATATACTAGCCACATTTTGGATCTTGTTCGGCGGCGCGTCACACAGCTCGCTTTGTCTAGTACTCGACTTCATCCGTCTGAAATGGAAGACGGACTTTTTTCCCTATCGCAAAGGTCTTGCCAAGCGTGTAGGGACGACGGTTTCTATAGGTCTCCTTTAGTTCATCTTGTCACTGCATAAGTGTTTAGCTGATTCGGCAGCGACTGCCTGAGAATGCTACGCTAATATGAATGCCCCATGACCCGACGATAGTGTAAGTAGAGATTTTTCTTACCACACTCCCCCGCCTATATTGAGTTTTACTAGATTGAAGGTGCACGATCCAAACCAGCTCAAGCATGTTACTGCGCCTTCGAGGCAACATTTATGTGACCACCACTATTGCCCAAAGGTCAAATGTATAGAGCACAAGCAAACTGAGCAAAACTACCGCTGGAATTGGCATTGCTTGATTTGACAAAAGCTCGATCTTTTCGAGAGCTCGATCTCTATGCGGACATACATTCGTAAGATACTAATCGAGCATAAAATCCGTGTTTTTTACTGCATGATCCAAGCTAAGCTCAATGGTGAGTGGATTGGTAGGTGGAAAAGGCGTGCCCATTCGAAACGGTGCTTGATAATTCCCTTTAGATATTACAGGTATGTTGGTAAGTTGGTATAAGAGTAAGATCTTCTTGCTAGCCAGCTCTGCGAGTTCTCGTTAGAGGGATGCGTCCTACTACGCAGAAGGTAAGGTTTTTTAAGAAGCGACTTCAAATTACGCAAAATCCGTTGATTGTATGTGTTCCCAAACGTTACATAGAATTTCTATTAGCTTATGTACGTATTCCGTGATTTATGCATGTGCTATCACCTCTTGTCTTTGATGCTTCTCATATAGACGTTTGTGGCAAACTTCGGTCTAACAAAGAAAAAAAAGTGCAGTAAAGTAAACTAACTATTAGTACAAAGTTTTAGACTATTGCAGAAGATGAGCAGAAGCAAATGCCGAGTTCTGGAGTACATGAGTGTCTAACATATAAGGCAACAGATTGTTGCCAACTTACTTTTTTCGAAAGCGATTGGAAGGTATTCTGCCATATTTCATAGTATCTGTTTTGCTGGCCACAGCCCACAGCTAAAGTACATAAAAAGCAAACTGGAGGAACTAAGATCGATCAACATTTCTCAGTCATTTGCAGACGGCTTTTTTGACCCTCTATATATATATATATATATGTATCTATAGTCCTTGGTACAACTTATAATCTAATGGTTTCTGAACGTAGATAAAACAACGTGGCCAGTCTCAAAATACTGGCCTCCTCCGTCCTACAGACGAGACACTTGCTTATAATATAGAATGATAAATAAATTTAATTATGCGTAATTCTACT